TCTCTACTGATGCTACCATGCGGATGTCAAAAGTTCACTGAGAGTTTTATGAATTTCTACATCTTCAGAAGATATGTCAACATATTTTTGGTGTTGTGTAAAAGTCAGTAAACTACTTATAAGCGTAATAGTTTCGAGTAGTAAATAGGTGCATGCAAAAAATACGCTGAAGTTTGATTTTTTTCGTTTATATTTTAAAATACTTGAAACCAGTCAGCTTTAACCAAAAATCCAGGAATATTTACCATCTGATCTCTAGTTTGAATCCAGAGAAGACAACTGTTGATGGTAGTCTGACTTCAGCCTGTGTAAAATGCTTTTCGTGATGTGCTGGCCATGTTTCTGACCCATACGGAGTGATTGTCTGAAAACTAATGCTCAACATTCGAATTTTGTGTTTCATGCTGCGGAGCGGGGGAGATTTTCAAACTGATTTCGTAGTGGTCATTGTTTTTCAAAGATACACGAATTCGGTCTCCCACTGCGCCTAATTTCTCATATGTCGAGTCATTCTTATTATTCAGTTGGAAAATGGTTGGTTGATGCTCATCAACCTGTATGGAAAGATGTATGCGTGCATTGACTTCGTGACATTTTTCATTTCATCGATAGCACACAAGATTTGAACGCTGTTAACTAAACTATGAAGTCACTCTACACTGCATCACGCTGCACTAACGTTCAAAGTATGGGAAATATATGTTTCATATGGGAGTGTGTAAATGGAAAACAGTTAAACTTTGGAATACCAAAGCGTATTTGAAAGAACTATTGAACAGATGTACTCATCAAGTACAATTCAATTTCAATGACACCAAAAGAAACCTCGGTATTGGTCCATTAAAGTCCGATATTCATAGTTTTCAACTGCATACAAGTTACACGGACGACACATTGTCATTTGGAAAAATGAATGTGGCCTACGTCAGTTGTTACGGGTGGTTAATAGCCTTGGTCTGACAACTTTCAAGTAGATAGCAGCTGTGTACAACAGTTGAGTTTCTGCTGAACAAAAGGAAATTTAGTCTAATTCCTGCCCACTCGATCTGAAGCATCTTTTGCCCTGACGCTCTAGAGATGAGGAACTATGCCTTCTGAAATAAGTCTCCATTCAAGCTGGATACCCACTTAGATTCCTTGACAAGAAAGTCGAACGAAAGTCCCAGAGAAATGAGACCTTAATTGTTCCAAGGAAGAAACTTTAAGTGGACCATGATTTCAAGTGAAACTTAATCTGCGATATTCTTAGCAGGAGGATTTCATCATCTTTGATGAAAACATACTCCGTGGAAACAGTATGAGGGTTCAGACGTTTCTACTACGTGGCAGTAAACCTCTCGTTTTCTATCAAGTAGACTTTTCGTTGTCTCTTTGATGTCCAACTCTTTACCAGTCTTTTAATTCCATTATGGATAAGATTTTATTTTGATAAATCACACAGTGTTACACAGTAATATTAACTGATGACGTTTCGAGCACAAATTATTGCTCATAATCATATCAAGTTACTCACACAACTTTTTCCTTCTTTTATATATATGTTTGGAATTGACTAGATTTTTATTCATCAGTTAATATTACTGACTTCAGCTTTGTTCAACCATTTGGGAGAATGCTCCATCCTGTGACGATTAGACAATCGCCTACACACACACACGACCTAAATGCTTTCGTGGAGTGAAAGCGCCACTGGAATTCAACTCACATATGCAGGTTATACCAGCATATCTCAACCAGATGTAAGGCCTGTAAGGCTCTAATTATTCGTCCCACAATGTACCAAAAATGCATCATCATCACAACAGAAAATGAAATCTACTTAGTGTTGACTTAAACATAATCGGTCATGAAATGCTCACAAATGATTAGCACTTCATCGTTTCAAATGAAAATCCCAGCAGCTTTCAATGAGAATATGTTCAGTGAAGTGAGTGTGTGAATGTATATCACAATCAGTGTGAAATTTCCGCTTGTCCTTAAAAGGTCCAATAAACTGAATGAAGTGAGTACTTTATCAGCGCTCATTCAAAGATGGTGGGTGAGAAGAGTTCCCATAGTCTTTACAGTTTTTCACAATGATCATCACAATAGAATAGATCACATTGAAGCGTCCGTTCAGGTCACTTGAGTGTTTTATGGGAACATTGAGAAGGAAATCTGAGAGAATCTGATCCAGTTTAAGTTGAGATTTCATACACCTAATCCCCTTAATGAATTTGAACAAAGCAAGAACTACAGTTTTATCAGAATAAAATGGTACCATCTTTTATTTCGTCGCCTTCTCGTCAGCTGCTTACAAAGCAAAGACATTATTAAATGTATCTACAAAAACAATTTAACATACTTGCACAGAGTTCATTTTAAACTAAAGTCAATCGATCATTATACGCATACATTAATTATATATATATATATAATATTAAACACAATTCCGAACAATAATAATCACACACAATGAAAACTTTTCAGTATCCCGCACTCGGATGAAAAATATCCAGTTACCAGGGCAAAGAAAGACTGACAACCGCTTCTTTCTGAATGCACAAATCAGGTTTTAGGCGCTTGATGAAATGGCTTCAGCAAACTTAAGGAGAATTGAGTCCTTTTGCTTATTGATAATTTTGAACGTTTTTGTGACGTCCACCTCATGACCCGTGTCAAGAAGATGCCTGGCGATGACACTGTTTAAATCATTTGTTCCCTTTACACGTAAGCTTTTCGGTACATGTTCAGAAACTTAAGTTGAAAATGAACTCTGTGCAAGTATGTTAAATTGTTCTTGTAGATGCATTTAATAATGTCTTTGCTTTGTAAGCAGCTGACGAGAAGGCAACGAAATAAAAGATGGTACCATTTTATTCTGCTAAAACTGTAGTTGTTGCTTGGTTTAAGTCGAGATTGTTGCAGAATATATATATTGTAATTTGTGAAATTTTCCTGAGAACAGCTGCTCTCTCCTCATTGAATATCTAGTGTCTACTAAGTGGACTATGACCACAGTATTTATGCATTCGGTTGCACCTTCATTCAACCACACAGGTACTCTGTCACTGATGCGCATACCCACATCACTCTGAGCATGTAACTTGCTCTGTTGAAGCAGTTGAACTCATAGATACACACTGATGAGACCATCGTTGGTAATTTGTTCTTGCCTCACCAACATGCCATGGGGCTTTGAATAGAGCAAGAAGTGCAGTTTGTGCAGAATAAGATGGTGCCAGCATTGTTTATGTGGCCGGCTTCTCATCAGCTGCGTGTAGCCTATAGTAATTCTTAAGTTTATGTACACAACAATTTAAACATGCAAATGTTAGGTGATTTCAGCAGACAAGAGACTCCAAGCTTAATGAAAAGTACTCAGAAATAGCACTTGTATGGTTTATATCCAGAAAGTTGAAGTATGAGCAAAAAATAAAGGCTTCGATAGACTGGCGAAGGAGTTACATGCATAAGCCAAGTGGTGAATCGGTGGACGGGTAACTTACAAGTTGAGTAACAATGTGGTGATTTCAACGTAAATCGAGGCAAGAATACACAGTCAGAGTTATGTTTCAGAGAATAAAGATATCGAGTTCCCATGACAAGGAATGACTGATATCTGAGACAGTATTTTATCTGGAATATTCTCACTACATGGTACATTTATTCTATCGTAAATTAAAAGTTTACATCGGTGTACGTCAAGTCAAGCTGATAAGCTCGTCTAGAACAAAGCTACATCAAAATCGTCCACCTCAGCTACAAATCTACTCCATCTTATGTCTTTCAACGTTACAGATTCATCCATGAGGTGATATCAGTTAGAGAAGCACTGAAAAGCACCAAGGAGTACTGGGCAGCCGTTCGCTCCTAGTTTGGCACCCAAATGGGTGACGGACTTTCCGTTAACGTGGTGAGCCCGTTATCTATTCAGTCAATGAGTTCGAACTAAGGTTGTTGCGTAGTACTGCAGAGTCTCAGACGAGAAGGAAGCAGTCACCTGGTACCACCTGCTGCTTTCCAATAGCTCTCTAACCCACACCAGCTGATGAGCGGACCTGTAGCCAACCTAATCCCGGTAAACTAACACTAAATAAAACATTCTCAACACAAAACATCTTCTCAGAAAATAATTCACAGTTTATGAAACTGACACACACTCATTTATTTGTATTAAAATTCAGTTACAAAAACAGAGAGAAAAGTATTTTCACCAACATTTCTGTGGAAGAGAGAGTTACTAAGTTAAGAGTTAAATAATCGAGAACACATGCTAAACAGGACTTCAATATATTGTAGATATGTTCCTCCAGTGTGCTGATCCATTGCTGGTAGACGATGTTTATCTGAAAAATTACAACGATAGCAAACCAATTAGATGAATTAACACACATAAGTTCCCTAATCGTAGCAACGAATGAATACTAGGATCAACATTGACTGACTGACTAACTGACTAACCATCTATTTCAACCATGGTATTCATGTCATCCAATCCCCGAGGTGTTGTCACGACGCTGAATGAAGACATACCACTGTTGCTTGAATGATGTCACTTACTTTCAATGCGAAATTCGACAACATTGCTTCCTGTGAACGGTGACTGTCTGACGGTGATGATTTTCCCTTTCTCGAAATGCACAACAACTCTTCGGAGTATGAGTTAAGAGTTACGAGTTTCATACCACTCCCTCAATGCCACATTTGCATCACTACTTCAAAAGGACCGCATCAGCCAGCCATAGGTTGTTCTTCATCTGTGTGAGAGGTGATCTCACTCATCTGACCGCCTCCATATGCATCTATCACAGTTCAACTAATCTTATTCAGCAAAGAATACAAGGCTCTCGAAAGAAATGCCTTCCACACGGATAGCAGAGTAGAGCAGTGCACATTGCAGCATGACTTTACAATGGGGAAGGGAAGTGTTTGCGAGGCTCATTATTCTAGAACACTTGATCGAATTCTGACACTCCGTCAACCTCGATCGTGACTTTAAATTCATCCATGGAATTCATGCTAAATGCCTCCGTTCATGAATTGAAACCAGACGTTGTTGTATGAAAGAAGTTCGTTCATTCTCTGTTTCTACCTTCACTGTAGAGAGATGAAAATTTGTTTTCATTTTCGGTGGTGATGTCTACTTAGCTGTTTATCTAGCTATCTAGCTAGCTTGTTGGAGAGAGCACGCTACAGTTTGCTGAATGACGTGGACGCTTGATTGAGCTCTTACAGCCGAACCAATCGACTACAACGGTAATCCCCGGAAGACAACGTTGAATGATGTAGGCTGTAGGCTTGAATTGTACATCAAAATGTTTTCAACAGACGAATGAATTTCTTGGTATGTACAAACAATGTCTGTGTACAGACAGATACAAATGCCATTCTCATGTCATTCAGAATGTCGATGTATTGTAGGGAGTTAGACAGATGACAGTCACACGATGCAACCATACAAATGTGTTTTTCAGAAAACACTCAAAATCAAGTTGAAGTTTAGACCTCATTCCATCTAAAAAGTTGTTGAGTAAATGTTAACTGAAACACTTCATTATCTTTCCAACATATCCAGTGCATTCACTGCAACTTCATGCAGAATATTTCACTCTGTTTTCAGGTGATGGATATGCAGTTAATGTCATTAAATGTTCATTAATCAATTGCGCGATGAATAAGTAAATGAATGAATGCATTTCACCATGAAAAAAATTATATAGAAAGAACGTACTTTGTTGGTGTTTAAGACTCCGCAGTCACTGAGTCTATTAGGACTTTGACTCTTTCCCCTGGACAAAGTACTAAAGGGTACAAAACTGTTATGATTTCAGATTGACTTACATTTTAAATAATGAAGTCGTTGACGCTCCACCTCGACTGTTTTGTTGACAAGTGCATCTGGCAGGAAATGAAAATAAATTTCTATGAATTGGAATGTAGTATGAAAGGCACTGAGATACAAAATTCACAGAAGGTTTGACGCTGAGAATGCAGTGAGACATGGTGTTTCATATGATGGCTAGCTGAATCACCATCACCAGTTCAGCTTATAACTAATTTGAAGTAATATGGAGGCAAGTCAATTCCTCCATTTCGTCTCGAATACTCAGAAACACCTAAATTACATTCAAATATCCAAATTTTCAATCGAATTTACAGCAAATCACCTCAAAACTGTCGAAATTTCAGCCATACACCCTGAAATCTACCCAAAGTTAACTGCCTGTGGCTTGCGGAACACAGTCAATTGCTGCAAGACATTTCAGTGTGGATCCACCTACGCACTCATCACAGGAAATAGGTGATTTTAGGTGTCAAATTCTTCTGCATTTCGTCACAACTTTACTACTTGATGTGGACACACCGTAGATGGATTTGTTGTGAAAGTAACAGAAATATGCAAATTCTTATATATCGAACATTAAATAAAAAGTGAAATGAAAATAAGTTACCTATTTCACCGCCGTACTTCATTTCGGCCGATAAAGTATCCAATATTAATAAATCTTCTACTGTAAGATTCATAGGGAAGAGGGTCATTGAATTTGGCTTTGTACATGGTATGTGGAAAACAAGTAAGGTTTTTCAATGACATCGATCAGGTCAGAGGACACAATTATACTGAACACATGTACTTGAGCCAGCAGCACACGCTACGATTTCGCATTGTCACAAGTCCATTACAGTGATTACATGTACAACTAAAGGATATTACGATACAGCCAATGAAATCCAATGAATTATTCCTTATTCTGAGAGTTTCAGTGTACCAATGACCAATGCTTCTCCAACTGAAATCAATGCGTGATGAAAACTGAAAGAAACCAAATCGCTACTAAGTAACTCATGAAAACTAATCTGACGCCCACTAGTGACTGGCTGTATACAGCACGCAGAGACGTGTAGTTCTAGTCAGAGGTTGTGACCACTGGGATCCACGACATCGGGTGTAGGGGTAAATACGCGCTGACAACATTCGTTGGTTGTCACGCTACATTCACGAATTGATGTAATCGGGAGTTCATAACTGGTATGTATCGGGTATCAGTCATTGAACGATCTGCCACCACGAGTTGTAACCAGTAGTTCTTGGATTCGAATCCTGGTTGGAAGATTCAAATTTAAGACGAAACAGATATCCAGTACTCTTTGGTCTTCAATGCTTGTCCAATTGACATTGCTACACGAGAAGATGAAGTAATTGTGAAGGGACCATTTTTTCATGGAAAAGCACCTGATATTTGGACATTGTTAGCAACATTAAATCTCGGCTAGCTCACAGGAGAAAAAACATGCTTCTAACTGGTTGGCGATTAACCCTAAGCTAAATAAGTCTCGCAATGAAGTTATTTCATGTCCCCAACGTGACGGTAATCCAGATTTGAGGAATGAACACTTCTATTTCTGCTGCAGCCATTCAATCAACATGTCAATTTCAGTGTTAGCCACTTCCTATCAATCTGCCTCACTCCATCAATTCACTCTATGATCAGACTTGAAACAAATCAAAATCCTGCAAACCAACTCACAGCGAATGCATATTGCACGCATCAGGTGATAAGACAATTCCGAGAGTGATGAATGAACTATGTCGATAGAGAGTTGAGGGGGCATGCACACTTTTATCATGCAATCATTCGTCTGCTGTCGAATGATGTGCGAATTGTAATGTCTCGCAAGCTGAAGTATGCATTTGATGACACCGATGATGTCGTCGATTATCTGTGATCCATAGAATCTATCATCGAGGGCTGCTCATTGCAGTCGAATGCTCACTAACTATGATAATCCATCAAACAGGTCGAAGTAAGCATCATGAGTCAAAACATTGTTTTCTCACATACTCATTATATGCTGCTTACGTGTATCATCATCATTCAACATGAATTGCTTGTATGCTTTAGCTATTTCATAAAGCCTCTTATCGGCAGCCTCTGAAAAATTACACAAAGAATCGTGATCATTGACTGTTAGAAGTCAATAGAAGTTAGAGAAGATTAAAAAATATTTTGAACAGAAAAGGAATGGTCTGTTTATTATTCGTCTCAGCCGTTCTCACTGTTTTCCAGACCTCCCAGGATTAGTCTCCACACACTCGAATTCCAATGCAGTCCATCGGATCGTGGCTAGATGATTGGAGGTAATCGGCAGGAAGCCGTGGACATATATTTCGTAATTTCTAAACTCGCTTCATTTTGTGTGGTCGATCAAGTAGCACGCTTGCTAGGAATGCAAGTAACCAGTGTACAACATCGCCGGCTGACAGGTATTCCTCGTGATCACCGCTTCTGTTGCAGGATCGGATGCCCTTGTCAATTCAACTATCACTTTGAAGAATACTATATAACGTAAGCACGAACTCTGAGTACAGGGCATCTTCCCGATTACCCACAAACACCTAACATTCACCCAGTGTGCTTCATGATGACGAGTCGCGCAGCATATGGCGTGGACACATGCCGAATATTGACTGATGATAAAATTCACTCTGCACCAACCTGAGGACTAGACAAATCACATCGGCTACTACTAAGTGATCAATCGAGTTATCGTTTTGCGTCATTCACGCTTTTCGCTCTAGTAGCACTGACTGACGCAAAATAATGATTCGTCATTTCAGACTGCATTCCCACATGCTGACGGCCTCATATTCTGCTTCGTTCATTGCAAGTATTACCCTCCTCCGTATCAGGCGAGATCATCAGTTGTTCTGCAGAAGATATGCAGGCAGACGGATAAGTCGCTTATTTGGAGGTAGCCTGAGGTTAAGTGAACCCTGATACTGTGCATCGTGAACTGATGACCTGGTCTGTCAAATTTGTGATTGCCTCAAACCTATGTAAACTGGCAATTGTGTGCATTCAACCACACTGACTAGGAATGATATCCACATGAACCACAAGATTTGTTTGGTTGCGCGATTTCCGCATCATGTTATAATAGAATGTTTGCCACACAACGTAACATATCAATTCAGAATACATATATATTATTGCGTATACATAAGTAGATGAGTGCAACTGCAAACGTACTTTTCAGTTCTCGAATTTGTTTCTCCCCCGTCATCAATTTCACTTTCACTGTTATATTGACTTTACGGAGAGAAAAACACCAGAGTTATTGATCAGATAACTGAATGAGTGTAGGCCAGACAGCTAAACAGGTTTGCAGAGAACAGGACAAGATGGAGATGTGCTGTTGAAGCCCCATCTTGCACTCAGAATCCATAGGAACAGTTATTATAATAATGATAACAATCATAATGGGCTATTGGGATGCACTTCTTTATCAGAATATACTGGATATTCACATTATTTCAGATTTATGTCGTGCCATTCACTCATTATTGATATAAGTATAAAACTTGGGCACTGTGGTAGAGTATAATTCCATAATGGATAAGATTTTATTTAGATAAATCTTATCCATTATGAGCCATTCACTCATGTTCTGTGCTTATTGAAGTTGAAGTGAATCCAGGCCATTATGTAAATAATGTGGCATACCACTTGTCAACTGATGTAAATCACAATCTTCAGCATGTATGCACAACTTTAATGAGTGGCAACACTTTCACCTGCCTCGACTTAATTGAAGAACAAGATTTCCTACACATCATGTGAACAAGTGACATATTATGTAGGTTCGCATGCATTCTGACAATCAGTGTACTGAATGGTGGAATATACTTTTGACGTACACAGTATCGTGTGAATACCTCAATTCATAGAAACATGAACTCAAGGCATCAGCTTACCATCTCTATTACCGGTATTATTCAGGTCATCAATGTCACCACTTGGCTAAGCTTTACATTGGGAAGCATAATCCAAGACGATGGAATCAGTAGGAATAGTGGCATAGAATGCGTGTTACCGCTTTCATTTATTACTACTTGACGTAAGTCGATATTTTATTTAGGTGTAGCCGTGGTGATAATCAGCTCTCTCCAGTATATTTGTCTGACAGTCTACGTGACGATATTATGGTTGAATTACGATAGCTGTGGGGTGGATGAACCATTCATGTTGTGGCTAAAATTCATCACTGTGCCTCATCTCGTAGTATCGTTTCTTTCATCCACATGAGTTTCATATCTCATTCAGTTAATTGTTTCGCATGGAAAATGTTACAAAATTAACTCGAACACTCACCTTCCTTCTTCAAACACGTAGCCGATGATCTAGACAGGTGAGCATCTACAAGGAATTTAAGAAAATATACGAAATTCACTTAACGTGCTAGGGACTGTTCAATTTTATTACAGTTGAATTATGTTCTCACATTCGGGACTGAATAATCACCGTCAGACATTTACCAGTCTGATACATCCAATTAAAAATCAGCGATGCATTTTACCGTCTGTATCTCACTCACACTTATTCACAATACAAATCAGTCTGTAATTCAAGGCAAAGATGGTCTCTCAAAGCCTGTCATAAAAGCTCATGAAGAAATCCACATGCGATATGCTTCTCAGACACAGAGTTGGAGAGTTATGTGGAGGTACAATAATTAATGACCCACTGACTGACATTATTTAATTTCTGCAGTCGTATGCTTTGTGAGCGTGAAATCAGTCGTGTGTGTGGGGATCACCATGATGCGTTCACACTGAGATTCATTCAGCACCTGACCGTTCTATCAATTTTCAATGGTGAGAAATTCTCACTGACACATACTTAAGAAAGAAAAATGTGTCGACTGCTTTACTCTTTTACCTTCAGCAGCATCCAAGCTTGCTCTGGCTTTCCATTTCTTTTCATATTTCTCAATAAGTTTTTTCCTTTCTACAAGAAATAGAAAAGGAAAATGTGTATGCATCGACACATGTTTGTTTCCTGTAATTCAAACTGGAAAACTGCCAATGAAATCAACTTGTTGTGAGGACGCATTTCAAGTAGTGCAGTGTTTATGTGTTGCAATGGAATGCAGCATGCGCATTTCATCCTATTACAGGCTGGTTATCTGAATGAACCTGCCTTCTCGAGTAAGTGGTGGTTTTTCTCCCTTCCAAACGCACACAAACATACACACCAAGATTCAAACTCATACTCCGCATTTTGAATGTCGAGGTGGTATCCACTGGAATACACAATTCCACATTAATGGCCAGTCACCATCCGCCATGTAATCAAACCAGGTAGAATCGCTGTTCACTTCGCATTCATCAATTAAAACCTACATACTTTAGCTTATTCGAAGAAATCCCAACGACTCGCTCGATCTCATTATTCATCCAGCTCCATGATACTCTGAAAAAATAGGATTTGTAACCACTAGTAAAGATCCATCGCCTTGCTAACTGCCTGACAAATACTGTCTGACCACTTTCACTGGACACCGGAAAGTAACTAATCTCATACGATTTATCTTCTATTTTGATGCGAAGTGCATTCTATCAGTCCAGTTTGCAATGTAGCCATCATGCTAGGTGGCTGAACATCACGGTGTGGATTGCCACCAAGTGTCTCACAGTAACTTGACCGCATTTCAAACAATGCAACTTCACATACGAAATGCTCTTCATCCGTTCCATGCATAGAAGCAATGAGTTTGCTTGCGTATTTAATATGAATAAGCACACAAATATACGAGATAACTACCAGTGGATTCGGTATATTCTAATGAAGATATATTTCCACGTCAGTGGTCACGCTCTGTATAAACGCACTGTGTGCAAATCACATTCTTGCCAGTGTTATGAGTATGTCACTTGCATGTGTCATGTTTGCATGGACTGCGATTAGAAAGAATTACAGTGAATGAAAATTCAGTAATTACCTATGTCCAGAGGAGAAGATTCATTCAGGCGTTTCTCCATTTCGTAATCATCTACAAGAATTAGAATTTTGCAATCACGTAGAAAGATACATGCTGACATAATTAACTGCAGATAAACGATAATGTGAGCTTCATAGTAAAATACTGACAATGTTCCCACTACTCAACATTCACTATTTATTATGTAGCTGGTGGTGATCTTAGGCTCAGTGACATCACTGCTATAACACTATTTGTGAACTATATTTCAAATGAGATTCTCATCCAGGTGTTTACTGAGTGGATCTACTGGTTCCTCCTGAAAGGTAGATGGATGCCTAATAGGACAATGGAAAGAGAAGAATTTGAAGATGCGTCTTTGTATTTGAGTGTTCGTCTTTATTCGTGACATTGAAAGCGATTCACTATGCGCCGTCAAGGATAGGTCTCATGTGATTAAGCTGTAGACTGGAGAGATAAATAGGAAGAAGAAGGGGACGGAAACCTCGTTTGTGCAAACCACACGTTAAATTATCTCAGTATACACAAGTGGCAAATAACTCACTTGCATATCGTCTCTTAGTGTTTTCGTCAATCACCTCGTTCGCCTGGAAAACAGGTGAAGCTGCAAGCAAAGTTGCAAATTATCATGAATCTCGTGAATGTGAATGAGGAATCAATTATAATGTCTAATTCTTATAATATACAGATGTGATGAGAGGTTGGTATCCCATGAATGTATGTGAATATACATTTCACTTTTCTGACAATTTTTTCGCTCACTGCAGTTAATTTCCTACCGACAGGGTTTTGATTGACACTGAAAGCATCATCACTAGTGCTGTTCATTGAAAGAACACAATGACAACATCATTTCTATATTTGCTCACTGAGTGAAATACGATTGTGCAGTGATCACCAGAATGATTTCCACAGACATCAGTGAAATAGTGAGAATGATGACAATATGAAATGCAGCATAATGCAATGTAAGTTGTCAGTAATGCATGTTTCTATTAAATTCCGTGGATGTGGCTAACCATCGGCTGCAGTCAACTCTTACCAATAAAATTTCGGTTTAAATCTCTCTGCATTTATTAAAGGCTAGTCAGTAATTTCGAATAATTAGCCGCCATATAATGGTGTGGCGCACGGTACTGTATATGCTAACAACTTCCAATTTACTGACCAATTAAATAACTTACTCAGTAAATAACTAAGTATCCAACTAATCTTGAGATATGTAACTAACTAACATTGAAATAATCAGGCAAGTAACTCACTAAACTCGAACTAACTAAGTAAGTAAGTCACTTACTAACTTATTTACTGCCTGATAAGCTGATTTTCACCATATGATACACTCGAAAAAGTTTACATTCACATCGCAGCACTCCTCTTCAGTCAAACAATTAAGTGGCAAAAATTGATTCATTAATTTCACTCACATATTAGTTCATTAATCCATTTCAGTTGATATAAATGATCCAGTCTATGGCTTTCTAAATTAATAAAACATTTGTGCAGAAAATAACAAGTGAGAGATGCAATTACTGAATGCAACTAAAACACTCGATACCTTACATTCGAAAGATGTGAATTCCTTTACCCTGTAATCGTGTTTCGTCTTACAACAAATATGAATTATCAAAGAGAGTTTGAATACTCATCAACAAGGCGAGAAAGACACAAACACACACACGCAACATGTACGCTACAAACACTATTATTTTATTTATTTTTGATTTTTTTGATTTACAGCTTGATTCCACACCGTATTTTCAGTACAAGTATGGAATTTTCAGCATGGATATCGGTTGCCCAAATTCAGGCATACCATAGATATCGGGTGTGCGCCGGCAGGGGATCGAACCCCGGACCATGTGCATGGTCGGCGAGAGTCCTAACCACTGTGCCACCGACGCACTATGATCTACATCAAAGGAGGGGATATACTTTTCTCAAGGTGATAGGAAGCACATGATGGGAACTAGGAGTAACATATGTCCGGAATGATGTACGTTACTCAGTTATCAAGAGCTAGAATGACTGAGTATTACGTAAAGCAATTGGACTAGTTCACTGGGGAATACAGTTCAAGATTGTTTGGTAGAAAGAAAGTTTAACCAGAAAGTGTATAACACCTTTATAGATTACAAGACAAAAGGAAGTGTATTTTTCTAGAACAGTGCAACAAAGGTGCTAGAGTGAATAATATTCAGATGAAATAATTAAGTGTTTCTAAACGGGACAGAAGATGACATGAAGCACCTGAGATTAAAGAGCTCACTGTCAGGAATCAACAGAGCGATTGTGTTTCATCTGTACACCACAGTCCATATTGTAGACAATCCGAAGGTGGTCAAAATAATTATCAGGCAAATGAAACCTCACCTGCTACATTTTGCTGAGACAGTCACCATGAAACGACTAGAATCAAATCGATGCACGTAGGAAGAAGGATAGTGGAGAGACTTACACTACCTTGATGGTAGCATAGTACACAATTTCATCACGACATCTTCTGTCGTTTACAGAGAAATTTCATTCTTTCATCTAAACATGACTGTCCCTAAACTCACCTTCACTGATTTCTAATAACACTCTTGTTTATAGTTGCGAAACTGATTGTCTTGTAGCGCTCATACCAAGCGAACGTCGTTTCTTCTCAAAATTCTTGAGTTTTATTGTCAAGAGTATTGATTTAATTACTTCATAAATTGTCAGTCTTTCTAACTCCTAATAACCTCATAGCTAACACCATTTCTCACTCATGTTACTCTTCGCTCCTATCAATTACACCATGTCATCTTGACAAAAGGATGTTGAATACTTCAGGATGATTTACATTCCATTTGTATTGTTCAAGCTGTAGTCCGGTGGGCAGAATACTCGGAATAATAAAGTACGATCTCATATCATAAATCCGGTTCACATTCATCGTCCTTGTTTCGTTCAACCTGAATAATAGGAAGATTTCTACGAAGTCTAGAATACACCATGTGATGCGTATAGTTGTGAATGATTCTCATCCACTTCGGATTATATCATGAAGAACAAAGTATACTTAAATATCCCGTATAAAATTCATATACACATCAATAATCTCACCTGTTAACAGCAGTTTAATATCGTAAGTAATATTCTTAATAGCCCTTTCTCGAAAAAGATGATCTATGAAAAGAAGACATTTGAAAGATTACACCGGTGGGGTGAGTACTGCCGATCATTCTCAAACTAATACGAAGCAGCAAAGCTATCACGTACACCCCAGATTTTGGATGATTCTTCCACTGATGTCAACCCGTTCAACATATATATATATATATATATACATATAGGATCATTGGAAATGTCACTCCGTTAGTATCTCAGATATATCGAATGTCTTCAATTCTGAGATAAATTTCTTCAATGTACGATATGATGTTCGTATACATCAAGTGCATATTGCTACACATGCCTACTCACAGACGATCATCTCGATTCTCATGTGGACACGCACATAGAGGCACACCATGTGTGTCTTCGACAAAAAAAGGGCATACTGTTGCTTGGTGACGCAATTGTCGAAAATGAATAACAAATCTTGTTCAAATGATCCAGTAAAGAATAGAATGAGTAAAAAATAACATAAACTCTCAATGCTTACAATGCATCGCTTGGGTTTGATAGTATGCTTTCATGTATTCTAATAGTGTTGAATTTACATCAGCTAGAAGACAATTGAATTTATAAGAAGAAGAGATATTATTCCTGATAATGCCATGGATATAGTAAAAGTGGTTAAGGAATGGATGAAAAAGTGTATCCTGTTGAGTGCAACGATACTCATCAGTGAAATTCTTGATTGGCAACATGAACATGACAATTTTTTAGTCGATTGTGACGCTGTGAGTATGCGTGAGTAGTGCTGTTCCTGTCATATATGTATTCACTTTTACTGAGTGGATGTGATTGCGACCAAGTATTCGATATTCAAAAAAACTCAGTGCTTTATTGTGTACACGAATTAAATGACCTACCCAGTGCATTCGAGGTAGAACCATGGGTTGCTGGGAAATAAAACAAGGTGTTGCACAATTCAGGGTGGTATGCAGTAAAGACGTGATGACTAGTAAAGCGAGTAGGAGTGTGCATGGATGTGTAACAGAAAGGTTATTTAGCGAGTACACCAACAAGATGATTTCAGGGAAATCTCTTTTTAGTCAACGACTCGCATGTGAGAAGCTATAAATGACATAGGAGACGAAATGTGGTATGGAAGGAAAGCCTGCATGAATATTCACATGAGACAGAAATAAGGAGAATCTTTACTTGACCAGTGGATAATTGTCTGAACGGATCAGATAGAAAGGAAGCTAGACGACGATACACATCGACGTCTTTCCATTATCTCAGCTTACACCAAAACAGACTGCTGTTCGCACGACGTGAAGGAGATTAGTCCTGTCAGAAGCCATCTAGTTTCCTGCTGAAAGCGAAATTCTCAGATATAGCAGTTGAATTCAGCCAATGCTGAACTAAGGAGGTTGTGCCAGTCTGAGAAGTATATTGTCAGTGCCTACGGAGGTCTTTACCAACGAATCCATAATGGTGATCGTCTTAATACCTATATAATACAGCTGTTTCGAACTCCTGTTTTCCCTCCCTCGTATGCCTTTGTGTGCTGCAGGCAATACGGCAACTTGAATTGCTATGCAGAAACTTAAACAGTGAGTCAGTGAGCCCGCTTATGAAGTCCATACAATGAAGGTTAATGCTATCGCTATCATATAGCACGTTGCTTGTAGTCATATAACGCATACATTTCTATATGTCCACTCAAAACCATGCCATGATTGAGGTGTGTGAATGAAAAGGGGTTTATGAATTGCAAGTATGTCAATGACATCTACTCACTAAATGTCATCCACCGAGATATGCCTCTCTTAACTCTTCATGATTTCATGTGAACGCCCTCACTTGCCTTGACCATTTTAAGCGAAATTCACCTTCATCTCAATCGGAGGTGAAATCACATTGAAGTCTGTTGACTCATTACACGCAGACCTCTTGAATTCGTCTCACACTCCATATTTAAAATCAAATCAAACCAACTTCCAAAGAAATATGTAGCAACAAAATAACCATTCTGTTCATCAACTTACCAAAACAGCTTAACAAACAGTTCAGTAATAAGAAAGCAACACAGACCAAGAATATCATCTTCACTGCGTGCACCAAATGAATGACTGATTAATGTTTGAGCATCCACCGTATTTATACAGTATTTTGTGTATCAAGAGGGGGGGAATGGTGGTGTGATTTCGATTGACCTGAAGTTCACCTCACAGATTTGAATAAGCATTATCCATTTTCACTTCTCAAGCACACTCTGATGAGAACATTTAACCGAAGTGTTTTCCCACGATTCAAATGAAACATTTCAATTAATTTTTAGAGTTCAGAAAAAGTTTATCGTTTATCGCTTTAAGTGTGGTTGGCACAGAAGACTAATTGAGGAAACAGAAATCACGGTGAACCTGAGATTTTTCACACACATAAAGCGATGAGTCTTCGAATAGGAAGGAGTAAAACTGTTGACACAAAATCCGATTGACACAGAACATTCACAAGGGCATCTGGAATAGCTTCAATATAATAGAGATGAAAAACTTATCTGAACACACCGAATCCTTTTTATTCAATTTCGACTTCCTCGTTGGTTAATTTCATCGAGGTGTTCGGCCAACGGTAAAATGTCGGCTGCTGGCACGGACGTTCTGACAATGTCTGCGGATTAACTTGAAGCAGTTTGATGAATGGTGTCTGGCAGTGGAATGCACCAGTAGGATTCTCATTTCATCTCATCTGGAACACATCATCTGGATGACGTACCTGCACTACCCAGTGACTCAATGATGGTGTCATCACTGAGACTAGATTCAGAGTACCCATCGTTTCAACTGCAATGCGTGATTCACTCGTAGAAGCGTTCGTACTAGTAGCTGACACGTCAGCAGAGGCTGAATAACCCGGTTCAATCAATAAAGTGGAAAATCGATATTGAATTGGAAATAAAAACAGGCCGATAGTCGTTGCAGAGGAGGAGACTTTGGTTGGACGATTGGTGTAGAGGAACAGGTTGTGTTTGGCATTTCGAACTATGGCCAGTGAATTGGCGTCTTGGTGGGAAAACCATTAATGATTAGGGAATGCAGGTACATCAGTTAGCTGACGACTTGTAGACAGGGTAAGATGCGCATACTGGAGAATTCCACTGCTAATTACCATCCATCTCATTGCCCCAAGCATGTTGAAGATCGAAGTTTCAAACTGCTGAAAGTTCAGTGACATGAGAAGAGGGGAATTTCAATAATCCCCTCCCCTTCTCGTTTGACAACTAAGATTTAGAGCCTCGCTTGATCACCTGCTATCCTTGCCTATTCCTTTCTCGAAAAACCTTCCATAACGTGACACATAAATGCAACAACTCGTTATATTTTTTGAACTTGACTAAACTAATACCGTCTACAAACATCTGTGATTTTTGATACTTAAGTTATTCATCCTATAGATGACAGCTTGTGAGACATTTCTCTTTCCGCTAGATATAACGGTTATTATTCGATCAGATGCTTGCGTTAATCTGCAGTCAGATGTTCACATAGTACTGCATAATTTTACTATTTTCTGAGGTTCCAAATGGAGAATGGGGATTCAGCAACACATCCCCGCTTCATCTCCTTGTCTACAATCCCCCTTATCTGACTCCACTATCACACATGTGCTAACATCTCTTCCTCACGCGATCCCCGTCATGTCACACTCGGATATATACCTAACTCGTCAATTCGCATTCGGGTATCAATCAACGGGATTACAAGTGATGACATTCGATTTTCTCCTCAGATAAAAAGTAGTAAGGAGATATGGCATGGATAGGTTTCAAACTGATGAGAAGAGATGGGACGGAAGTGGAGACTCCAAGTTGTTCAATGGATATCCGAAAATCGACCCTAGTCACCTAGAAAACAATTACGAGGTCTGTGGGATTGAGACTGTCACGATGTCACCAAAAATATATTGACCTGTGATTTAGTGCGTATCAATATTCCTCAGGATAATGACATCAAGATAACATTTAGATGGGAGTAAGGTTGCAGTTAACCAATCCATTTATATTACAAAATGGTTGGCTGATATTCTGGAACCTTTAACAAAACATGCGCGCAGGTAATCACCTCGTGGTACTTTCTAACCCATCGACTGCATACAAGATATTAAGGCTAGTGAGGAGAGAATACCACCTCTCAACAATGAATCATTTTCCATCAATGTCTCACTTATGAAAACTGTCTGTTTCACATGAAAATGCATAGGTAGTGTGTTTATGAAAAGTGCGATAATTGTACACTTCGTCAACACTCGAGATTCTAACTCAACAAACCCCTAGTTAAAATTATTTACATAGTGAGCCACAACCTTCCGAAAACAGCAGGATTTCGTCTGTTTTGCATTGCCGAGGCTCTGGGTATTCAGACAGACAGATATAGAGACTGACCGGATACCTGTACACGAAAGGAAGTTATTCAACCACTTCTACTATCATGCAAAAGAAATACTTCGTTATTTCTACTCACTTGACTTTTGTTTGTTTGTCTGCATTTCAAACTCCTTATAAGCCTCGGATTTCCATGGAAATCTTCCATAAATCCACAGATTCCCTATTTTCTAGGTAACTCCACATTACAACCCATATACTCGATTATTCATCTTATCACGTAGCAGTAGTATTCTCGCTCAACGCCTCTCCAGCATTGGCTGAGATCATTAACTATGTTTGTGACACCTCATCACTCCCCTTACCGTCTTCTCTTATGCTAAAGATATTGTGTATATATTCTATTGTACAGACAAACAGGAGAATGAATTCGCTGGAATGAGCCTCGTCGGTAAACTAAAACTAAATCAACAACATCAGAAATGCTGATCAATTATAGTCATAATAGGCTCATGATGGAGAGTCCACTCAGACACAATACACATTTTTCAGCCATTCGCATAGCGACGCATTCACTCCTTGAGTAGAACCTTCAAATCATGCGATAACCGATAATAAGTCATCAGAAGCAATACCGTTCCATCCGAAAAATGCCTCAATATTACTCCACAATGCTGTTCCTCAACTGCCTTCAATCAATTCTCAGTCTCAGGTATAAAGTTACCTGAAATTGCGCTCGAGTGTATATTGCCAATCACTGTGTTTATTGGATGATTGAAGCAGCATATGAAACGGAGTAAATACAATATTGCACTGAGGTAGCCCAGTGATTTAAACAGGCCACTATCAAATAGCCGTTTGTTTCGTTTGTTTCACGTAAATGCTTGCTTCGGGATTGTGTATGAACAACTCAGTCTCTAAGTGTCGGACTAAAAGAATTCCACTGGTTTGATGTCAGATGATGAATCGGCACATAATAGCTGATCTCACGCTGACTGATGACCAGCTGCAGGATGATATAGCTTATAGTCGCAGTGAGTAGTCATTGCAAGTGAGGTCGACGAGGATGTGTTCTGAAGACAGATACTCACAGGTGACGTTGCCTGCTGGTTGCCCTGTGAATCTGAATTCGGTGGAAGATAGAACGCATGCAGCAACGAATGGAATCCGAATGACGGAATATTCCACGGCCTACCACGTGACGTAAAGGTGGTAGATTCAATGCCTGGATGTGCAGTAATGCCTGCGTATTCCTGAAGTGTACGAATCCAGTAGGAAACAGTTGTTCAATACTCCATAAGTCCCATCGGTACTCTCATTGATGTCTGTTCCCGGATACACTTGAAATAACTAGCTCACCTAGTCTGTTGTGTGTATTACTCTATTGGTCAGCGATGACCGTTAGTGATTGGTGAGGAAATCAACGCCTGAGATGACGAATATCCTGACTGAGGGTTCTGCAAATGTTCTTCAATTACTTGAGCACCGCATCAGATCAAGTCATTTTATGCAGTTATATAAACGTCTGAGACACTGAGTACTGCGTGAAGGAACGCTCATCAACTATCCTCTACCAACTTGAGGGTATTCTTCGAAGTTTCATGATTTCAGGTGATTTTGACAATGACATTTCATACATTTCAGTTTACATCTTGTCTTCTTACATAATTGCCACCTGAATATTTCAAATCTACTCAACTTGTTATTACATCAGTCAATTCGAATCATCAGAATTCTTGCTAACATGTTCTCAATGTACAAATTCCGTTTCTGATTCTGCAATATTGGTGTGAATTTTCTACAAACACCACCAAGCTTACTGACCACTGTAGTACTTTCATCCACCCTCGTGTTTACTATGGGGAAACACATTCAATTTGTGGATTTTCGAAGATGAATGAATTCTCATCTCCCATCCGCAGCGTTGCGAAGGAATAACCGTTTGCCGAATTCCCCATAAACCATACACTCACAACGATGGCTATTATTTAAATGTCTCAAATAACTTTGATATTATTGCTATCATTATTGTTATATGTTCCCTTCCTAGACTGAATATTGCCTTGCTGACATCAGCGCATCATATGTTGACTTGATCATTATGACCTTCAATCTTCGATTTGAATGCTTCTCTTTGTGGTTGTGCAACACGTTTATAATGGGTAGTATCATAGAGTGATTTAGAGTGAATGGAGCTCACTCTAATATCGAACTGTTTGTCTGTCTGCCTGACTGACTGTCTGTCTGTCGGAAGTGATGTAGTGTGTGATTCGTGTGGAAAGAGCTGTGATCCAAATTGTTGCGTGGGAATATTCGAATTCATTCCCAATCAACACTTATGGTTGAATTTCGCCTGACTAATGTCTGCAACACCACTCGTTTTGTACTTGAAAAGTAGCTTAAACTGAGCTTAAATTGTTGTAAATATTGAATAGAGGCACAGAGGTCTGTCGAAGAATGACCGTATTGCTGGAGTGTATGTGTCAGTGAATCACTCGTAGAAGTTTTATCAGATATCCAGAAGAATGTAGGGATCTGAGATAAGGAGAGATGGTGTGCAAAGTTGGCGTGTGGTGGTGTGGATCTATCAAGCAATAAAGGGAAAGAGAAAGTACTGGTCGAACGGTTGGTAGTGGACTTCGACAGCCCGAGAGATATAGGGCATGCAGTGCGGCTGTTTTGTTCCATGAGGCTGGAATGGTGAGAGAGATGCACCAGTATAACCGGTGGAGCTAATGAATCTATT